TTCCCTTCATCTTCTCTGTCTTCCCTCAGCACACATCCTTCATCACCCAGTTGTGTCTCACTCTGCAGCCCTTTGATGCACTGCTTTTGGCTTTTTTTATTTCCTCTTTATTCTTGGATAATTGCTTCAAACTTGGGACATTGTGTTGATCCTTTTTACAGCACAGCTTTACAAACAACAGTACTGAGGCAGCCAAAGGCCACTGAAAAGTCACTAGGGTGAGAGCAGGAAAAAGAAAGCTTTGACTTCCAAGAAAATGCAAGGCAAATTGGCCATATGTAGGTACACAATAGGATTTGTGTAACTAAACCTGTAATCTATATCTCCTATAAATTGAAAACTCCTTTTGGGGTATGTTTTTTTTCCCCCTCTGTATTTTTTTCCCCCTAGAGAATGTTTAAATATACCTAGGATCACAGAATTCTATTCATGCTTAAATATATCTCTTGAGAAGACAATAAAAAGAAATATCTTACAGAGTTGAAAGTTCTTTGGCCCATGAAGGGAAAAAAATCAGCATTTTCATGTCATGTTTCCATTTGCAAGAAGGTAAATAGGTCTTGCTGTATCTTGCAAAATATCTTATTATTTTAGCCAAGAAATATGAAATACTTTTAAAATTATGAACAGCACACAAGTAGCTGATAGTTATACAGAGGAACAGAGTTACAGAGCACTGGGACAGGCTCCCAGAGAGGTTGTGGAGTCTCCTTCTCTGGAGACTTTCAAGACCTGTTTGGATGCCTTTCTGAGTGATCTGCCCTTGTTTTTCCTTGGTCCTGCTCTGGCAGGGGGGGTTGGACTCAATAATCTTCAGAGGTCCCTTCCAACCCCTAATATTCTGTGATTGCCTTTGAAAAACAGTCACCAAGCATGAACAAAAAAAGATTGTGGTTTTGGATTTCAAGGTCTAAAAAGAAAAGCCCTGAAACACTATGTATTTAGTCTACTTTAAAAACTCCCTTGTAAGGTCACCTCTAAACCTTGCCCTTATTACTAACTACAGACAAATGCAGCGTCAAACCTGGTTTTCATGAAGATGCTAAATGTATAGTTTGGTTTCACTCTTCCACCTCTCTGAACTGATTAGCTTCCTCAGCACCAATGCTAACGTTCCAGTAGCAGCACTTCTCCAAAATGAGCTTTTTCCTCTGCATGTTTCTAATTATAACACTAAATTAGTTTTCTTTGTCATGGTGCTCAAAATAGATCAGCCAAACTGCCTCACTATTACTTCCTGATCGTATTTGTTCTGGTGACCTTTCCATTTGGAAAGACAAAATGGGTGACTGGCTGTCAGCTGGCTCTAGGGACATGCTGGGAATTAGTTTTCAGGAACTGCTGTACCCATCTGGGACAGTTATAACACGGTGGTTTCATTGCTTATGTGATTAAATGCAGCAGCAGCAACACTGTTTAGATTCCGTGGGTTGCTCTTTGGAGTCGCTGAAGATGAGGTTGATGTCTCAGAAGCCTGTTGTGTGTTTCATTTCTGTGGGTGATAGAAGTGTCTGAACTTTAAGGGAACAATTTGTCAGAAGTGCTGAGAAGCCTCTTTCCCCGTTGGCATTGGTGACACTGGTGCTTAGTGGTTCTGGAGAGCTGGCCCAGGGAGGGACAAATCAATGAGAATAAAGCAAATAATGATGATGCATGTGGGCACGTATGCATCGAGACACATGACTATTTGATTGTAATGTGAAATAAATCAAGTTCATTTTTCACTTACAGCTTCAAGAAATTATTTTGCTGCCTTCTGAGATTTCTTGAAGGGCTTTGTTGTACTGTTTTTTTTTAAATCTTATTTTACAACTGTATCGATCAAGACAGTGTTGGTCTTGATTAGATCTTGGAAGGTGTGTGATTCAGGGTCAGGGCTTTTATCACCTGCAATTTTATCTGTAAAAAAAAAGCCCAATCCACCAAAAAGCCTAGACCACAAAGTCAGTTAGATTTCAGATGTCCAAGTCTTTCTTACTGCCTAACTTTATCCTTTAATATTATTTTAATTATCCTTAGTTTTATGCTGTATTTTGCTGTTTACTTCTTTAATTTTGTTTTCTTGTGGTTTTGGTTGTTGGTTTTTTTTAATGGAACACTATGATGAAGTTGATTGTATTTTTGACCCTGCCAGTGATGGCTTCTTATAAACCAGAGTGATGGGACCCAACAAAAGGGTCTTCTCTTTTTCACTGGGGAACAATAAAATAATACTTTAATGCATGGCTTTTATTATTAATAATGCTACCTATTGTACTGAGTGGGAATCAAACAATTGCAAAGATAGGGTTGCTTTTTATTACAGTGTAATTAGATAATTTAGAGTTGAAGGAAGGGGAATGCTATGAAATTGAGAGTAGTGATGATGAATGGAGAAGTTTTAATGTACTTGGCAGCCGCGAGCTCGTGTGGGTTGAGCAGGATGTGATGGTTTGGGATTAGAGTGGTCCCAAGGTCCCTCCTGGCCCTTAATTTCCAAGTGTCTGGGTGTGGTGGTGGGAGAGATATTTCTGTATTCCTGACCCAGACTTTCCAGGTAAAAGTTTTGGCATTACTGGATGACATTTGTTTGCCTCTTGAAGGGACGAAGCCACTCAGATACCAGCAGTGTTGTTGGGAAAAACCTTGGGAGAGGTGGTGCAACATGAGCATTTGTTTAGTTACAGTTACTGAAGAGAACTTCTGGGGAGAAAGATTAGCAAACAGGGAGCTGTCAGAAGAGGAGTAACACACAGGACTTTGATGCTGTTAAGGATATTATTGATTTAGAAACAATCAAGCACAACAAGAAGAGAACAGTTGGGAACCATAGAAGAGTTGGAGAGTACATCAGGTTTTGAAAGAAAAGGCAGCATTTTGAAACTGTTGTGACTGCAAAGATGAATTGGACAAAAAAGGTGTTGCCTGCCTACTGGGCTGCACAGTGGCATTGCTGTTTCTTCTGGTGTGCTGCAAATAGGTTCCTCTGGACAGGTTTTGATTCACATCCTGGTGAATGCAGAGCAGGCATGGCTTTTCTGGTCACCTGTCACCTTCCTAGTGTGTTCTGCACCCAACATGCTCCAAAAATCTCTTCAGGTAGGAAAGGGGGCATTTGCAAGCCTTCATTCCTGAGGTTTTCAGTTCCAGTTGAAACATGCTGATTATTAACCATATTAACCATAAAGCCTTGAAACCTCTCTCCTAATAAAAGCTACATATTGTTCCCCTGAATCCAGGAGCTGAAATCATGGAAGATCTGCCCAAAGCTGTGATGCTGCACCAGTATTGGTGCTTTCTGCACCATGTGTGTGCTGGTGAAGCTGCAATCAACTCAGCCCAGTCCCACTGACAATCCTCCTTAGGAAGAAAAAGTCTTTTTTAGACTGCACATCTTCTAGGCCTTTTGGTGGATATGAAACCATGATAATTGTTACCTCAGACATTTATGGACTGGTCCTTCAGGGCATGAAATACTGATGAATGCATGGGTGTAATTGTGTAAGTTACTAATTATTTAGCAATTACTTCTGCATTTGAATTGAGGGCTCTCAAAGGGACCCCAAGGGAGGACTGTTTTGAACAGAACCACCATGTCTGGATTTTATTTCTGTTTCTTCTTTAGCTGCTGAGTGGCCTTGGGCAAATCAGGTGACTGCTCTGTGCTTCAGGTTACTGGCCTGGAGAATATTAAAACACTTAACTTCTCTCTTCATGAATATTTCAGCAGATATCCTGTGCCTGCAGTTACCTCCTGTTACAAATAGGAGGGAAAGGGTGGAAGCAGTGGTGATTCAGTGGGCTGTGCTGAATGCAGCAGTGGAGATGGGCTCTGTGTAGGGACACACAGGGACATCAGGGTGGTGGCTGAATTTTGAATGGGGATGGCTGTGTCACTGGGGTCTGGCAGGGCTGTGCTCATGAATGCCTGCCCAGCACTTAGTGAACCTCAAAAGAAAAAGTGCTGCACTTTATAACATGTGAAAGGTTATTGCATTATAGAGTATTATTGTCAAGGCATCATCTTTCATTCTCAGGACAAGTGTTATGTGATTGCCAAGAGAAGTAATAAGTAATCTGCATCAGTCTCATGACTAAGATGTAATGGGGTGACTTGCTAACATTTTTAAAGTGTATAAAACTAGCTACTGTAGACAGGGTCTACGATTGTGGTACTTAATGAGTGCAATAAATTACCTTAATAGTGCAGTTAGAATTTCAGCTGAAGCAGAGAGGTGTATTCAGCAACATGCTTCAAATCAAGATGCCTTTAGCCTAATTTATCTTCTGTGCTAGCTCTCCTTGGGTTTCCCTGCAGCAGCCCTGCTCCCCCAGCTGCTTTAGCAAAATGGCTGGGTTTTCTT